CGAGTAATTTGCGAAGTAATGGATTATGTTTTTACAGCACTGTAACTCTCCCCCAGCACATTAAATAATAAAAAAAATACAATGTTCGATAGAAACATCCGTCGGCATTCGGGGAGAAGGGCTAACGACGAAGCAGAAACCGGGAGCACCACACTGCGCAGGGCGACGCGTCGCCTGTCCGTGTCTGTTAGACTGGCTGCTGGAGTACAGGAGGCTGCGATTCGGTTACGGGAGCCTGGATAAGCGTGACGCCGCGGAGCCCCCCGGACCCGTGGCTGGCGAACAGGTGAGCCGGGACAGGTGCGATTCTGGGCCGTACTGAATGTGTGGTAGGTTGCCACGGTAACATGCTGTTTTCGTGAAACGCTGCCGCGGTTTATCTGTCCTGACTTGCTTTTTAGAAAAGTTTTTTTTTTAATTATTATTTTTCCAGAGACAGTTACTGTACAGGATATCAGGACACGGGTTTTCTAAAACCCCAACAGAAACCGCCGTTTCACGGACGTCAAAAACTGGGGGGATTCCTTACAACGGGCAGATCAGTAATGTAACACCCTTACTAAACAAGGGGATCGTACTGAACCAACGGGCAGGTCAGCGCATCGTGCGTATTATACAGGACATGTTCGCAATTTTATCTGACGCCGACGAAGCCACCCACCGGAGTTTGTATTTGTATGGTAACGCTTTTGTTGGAGACATTTTACTTCGCGTCTCTGTTTGTTTGTTTTCCCCGGATAAGTCAAGTACAAAAAGTACTGACTCCTGCAGGGTTTCTGACCAAAAGGCTTCGGGATTTTGGGAGAGCCTCGGATGAGGTACCGCATGACCTGTTCCCCCTCTTAACCCTGACGTCAGTTCTGTTCGGAGACGGTGGGCAGGTCCGAGTCTGTGCCAGGACGCAGGCGGACTGGTCAGTGTGGCCTGAGCGTGGGAGAGAGAGCCCACGGAGTGCTGTGCTGAGCCACACTGGGCCCAGATGATTTACAGGGGACCCGATAGGAGCAGTCAGAGGTATCTCTGAAGATTTATTTCTTCAGTGAAAAAGGAAACTCAGGGCCCAGCTGGATGAGATCCTGGGATCACTTATAGCTACTAACTGCCCAAAAGTGTTGTCAGTGCATGGTGGCTCAGACGAGGCCCAGGAATGGACAGGTGTCCTGTCAGCAAGTGCAAAGGCACTGTTTATTTGTACAGTACATACGGTAAAGACTCTAGTAATTCTTAGTAAGGATTTTGCACTAAGCACTGTGACAATCTGTGATAAGGAACGGTCTTCTGAAGGCTCACACTGACTTTCCCTGCC